CTAAGAAGCAGTCCTTTTTAGCATGGACACTTGGTGTAAGACAAAACTCAGAGACTCAGCAAAAAAAGAAACGTCCGAATCTTACAGAAAGTAGGCATTTAAGGTCACAGTTCTAAAAACGCAGGACACTAAAGAGACTTGTCTACCGACTGTGAAAAACAAGCCCTCAGTCCAGCCTCTCTCAGCCTATTGGGCATCTTTCTTTGGTTGTTTTTCACAGTCGGTAGACAAGTCTCTTTAGTGTCCTGCGTTTTTAGAACTGTGACCTTAAATGCCTACTTTCTGTAAGCTGTTAAGGTCTTAACGACCATTCCACAGGTGCATGTTAATTAATTAATTATGGTTAACTGCAATATGTTTATTGGGAATATTGCAGTTGAACTTAGTTTAGGTGAATATTTATCTGATTCATTTACTTATGTATATTCCAACAACTAACTGTTATTAGTGATATTCAATATGTATGTGGCCATTTGAACATTTTCTGAGCAGAAATTGTACCATACACTCGCTTAGAATAAGAAATTCCACTGCATTCCATTTTTCTACAAATGCATTATTGTCTGCGCTTGTCTTAGTTGTGAGTAAAGCTGTGATTACCAATTACTGTATGATGATCTGTGAAATATGTAACGTTGTTTTGTAATGTAAAAATACAATTCGGTGCATTACGCAGCGTTCGCGGACGTCAGTGCACTGCGCATGCGCTCGCCTATCGGCCAGGCAGTCAGTAATCAGTATATAGATCAAATAGTGACGTACATGGAAAACCAGTGTCCGCATGCGTTCGCAGATCGGGCACCAGTGTGCGCATGCGACCGCAGATCGGGCAGCCACATAGTCTAACAAGCTTCATAATCAATGTCTATAAGCACTGCCTTACCAGAAATACTTTGCCTGAAAATAAACATATAACAGGAGAAATATTTTAAATTAGTTAGATTTATTAACTGGCTCCTCAATGTAGGAATGTAAATGAACTGAACTTAATCAGTATTATAAGTTTATTTAAATTAATTCAGAGATTTTGTAGTTCATTCCACTTGAATAGTTACAACTTAAGCTAAATCCGCTTAAATCATTTAGAGTGTTTAATAGCACATTCAAATTCAGGCAACTTGAAAAACTGAGCTTTTAAACTTAAATCATTTGAGGCAACTAATTTCCTCAACTGTTTTGAGTAAACTCAACCTAACAGATTTTACAGTGTAGGTGAACTTTAGCTTAATTTATTTAAAATATTTCATTTCCTAAAATTGGGTATACTTTTCAAAAAAGAAAATCAGTTTAAATATACCACAAAATAAGTGAGTGCAAAAATGTTGCCTTAATTTCAGTAAATCCTATAGTTTTTTTTCAGTGTGGTATTATAACAGTAACATACTGTAAAGTAGAATGAACTGTAAAATTAACAACCCTGCTGCCAGTATTTTACTGGAAATTTACATGACATTTTTTTATAGTAGGCCTATTTAATTAATAAAAAACTAATTTGAATTTCCATGTTCTGTCATCTCTTTATTCCTTAATTTTCCTGATGTTTAAATTTTTTGCCGTGGTATCGTTTTAGTATCAAAATATTTTAGGCAGGTATCATATCAAAGTCATGATTTTGGTATTGTAACAACACTATAGTTGAGAGCATTCATAATGCATAATAAAAATGGCTATAATGTGTTATGCCTTTCTAGAAATATTTATAGCCATGTTTACAATTCATTATGAAGGTTTTTTAATGCATTTATATGCCTGCTTTAAGTAAAGTGTTACTAAGAAGAGAAACCCATTTATCATAAATTAGGTTCCATTCGTAAAGGATTGCCCCAGAATATAAGAACATAAGAAATTTACAAACGAGAGGAGGCCATTTGGAAAACATAATAGAATGTACAGCATCATAATTATACATCAACCTGGCTAACAATTAATGTAAAGGCAAACACAAAAACAAATAAAATCAAATTTCTTTTTTAAATTTTGTGCAGATCATGTAAAAGTTGGTGTCCTTCTGTAATAGTCTCTCTCTTACCTTGTGGTCAGTGGTGTCCCATCCACCCATTTCCAGGTCCCTTCATGTTCTTTGTCTGTCAGACCGATCCAGGCTCTCTGATCTTTACTGAACATCAGCTAAAATGTAGTAAAAAGATTATGAATGTCTGTGTATGATTAACATCATCATTAAGAATTCCCTTTACTTTCCATATTCTCTTTCTGTCCTTTCATGTCTTTCATAATCATTGCGGGCGAAGCTGTATGAAATTCTTCTAGCAATATTATAATCTGACATGTTTTTACTTTCTGACCTCTTCCTTTAAGCTGTTTATAATCAATAGATCTGCTCCCTTGTGTCTACAGTCCTCCTGACTGTCAATCCAAGTCTTCCGTTCATCAGACACATAATAACATTTGAAATTAAAACTAATCCAGCCAGTGGGACATCTGGGTCCTGCAGGGAAAAACAGATTAACCTTAAGGATAGTGTGATCCAGGATAAGGTGTCATTTTACAATACAAATACTGTACAACACATTCAGAACTGGTGGCAGGTACAGTTGTCCCCAGTGCCTCTTTTCAGCATGAGATCAAAAACAGTGCATGTGAGTGAAGAGCCAGATACAGGGAGAGATAAATGAAAATGGCTCATATGCTTGTGTCTCAGCTGCTCGTAAACACTGGAGCCAAAGAGATGTCGCACTGGATACAGCTGTTTCTGGCTGCCAAATGTTTTGTTACTCCTTAGGTTACATTTTTCTTATCAGTTATTGAGGTCATCAACTTTTAATTTACTCAAAAAACACTCAACCAAAAGGTGTGAATCTCCATGATGAGCATCTTACTCTGGAAATTCAAATAACTGACTCACTTTGCGCTGCACTGGCTAGCTGGTCTCTCTCTGTTTTCACGATGCTGTAATTGGTCTGTAGCTGATTGTAGTTCGTCTTCAGTGAGCTGTAATTTCCCTGTAGCTGGTCTCTCTTTGCTGCTAACATGCTGAACGTCTCTTCAAAATCATTAAAAGCTCCTTTATCTGAAGCAGATAACCAAACAAAAGTCACTAAATGACTCACATTTATGATATGTATTTAAAACAGACCATAATAGGAAATAGGGCTGCATGATATTGATGATCTGAAATATGTGCACTTAATATTCTGTTATCTATAAAACAAAAAAAGATTAAATTGACCTGAAATAAACTACAGCCAAAGACAATTTGTTGTTATCTGGCAGTAGACACTATCTATCTATCTATTTTATTTGGGAGTTTTAAAACAAATTATACAGACTATAATTGCACTTGTAATTTGTTTGACATACTTTCAACAATATCAATATTTACATACAGTGGGAAAATAAGTATTGAACGCGTCAACATTTTTCTCAGTAAATATATTTCTAAAGGATCTATTGACATGAAATTTACACCAGATGTCGGTAACAACCCAAGTAATCCACACATATATACAAAGAAATCAAAACAAATAAGTACATAGATTAAGTTATGTGAAATAAAGTGAAATGACACAGGGAATAAGTATTGAACACATGAATAACAGGAGGTGCAAAAAGGCACAGAAAGCCAAGAAACCAGCTGAAATTTGTCAGTATTTAGAAAGAAATCCTGCCCCCTATCAGTGCAAATTAATATCAGCTGGTTTAGTCCTAATTGATGGCTTATAAAAATGTTTCTCATTACCAAGGTGTCACACAAGAAGCATTTCATGATGCACAAAAGCAAAGAGCTCAGTCAAGATCTTCGCAACCTGATTGCTGCAAAACATACCGATGGCATCGGTCACAGACGTATTTCTAAACTTCTGAATGTTCCAGTGAGCACCGTTGGGGCCATAATCCGGAAGTGGAAAGAACATCAATTCACCATTAACCGGCCACGACCAGGTGCTCCTCGCAAGATTTCTGACAGAGGAGTCAAAAGAATAATCAGAAGAGCCAAGGACCACTCGCGGAGAGCTTCAGAAAGACCTGGAATTAGCAGGTGCAGTTGTTTCAAAGAAAACAATAAGTAATGCACTCAACCGCCATGATCTCTATGCACGCTCACCGTGCAAGACTCCACTGCTGAAGAAAAAGCATATTGAAGCTTGTTTAAAGTTTGCCGCACAACATCTGGACGAACCAATGAAATGCTGGGAGAATATAGTCCGGTCAGATGAGACAAAATTAAACTCTTTGTATGTTATAGCACACACCATGTTTGGAGGAGAAATGTCACTGCACATCACCCCAAAAACACATCCCAACAGTGAAGTTTTGGGGTGGGAACATCATGGTGTGGGGCTGTTTTTCAGCATATGGTACTAGTAGACTTCATATAATTGAAGGAAGGATGAATGGAGAAATGTAGCGAGACATTCAGGGTCCCGAAGATGAAACAAGGGTGGACATTTCAGCAAGGCAATGATCCAAAACACACAGCCAAGGAAGCTCTCAATCGGTTTCAGAGAAAGAAAATAAAGCTGCTAGAACAGCCCAGTCAATCACAAGACTTGAATCCAGTTGAAAATCTATGGAAAGAACTAAAGATCAGAGTTCATAGGAGAGGCCCTATAAACATCAAGATTTGAAGACAGTTTGTGTGGAAGAATAGGCCAAAATCACACCTGAGCAATGCATGCGACTAGTTTCTCTATACAGGAGGCGTCTTAAAGCTGCCATTACCAACAAAGGCCTTTCTACTAAGTACTAAATAAATTTCAGTAAGCGTGTTCAATACTTATTCCCTGTGTCATTTCAATTTATTTCACATAACTTAATCTATGTACTTATTTGTTTTGATTTCTTTGTATGTGTGGATTACTTGGGTTGTTACCGACATCTGGTGTAAATTTCATGTCAATAGATCCTTTAGAAATATATTTACTGAGAAAAATGTTGACGCGTTCAATACTTATTTTCCATAAATTTTTCCACAATACATTCAGAGCAAAATGAGAACATGCACTGATCATATGTCCTAAATTACAAACAACAGAACCAGAGCAAACACAAAGAGTTATGAGGGCCTCCTTCAAGAGAAAAAAACAATCATATACACAAGGACACAGGATGTACCTGTAACACATTATAGAGTATAACTAATTCTGGATCATAATAGGATCTCAGAGACATGGCACCATGATGTACACACTAAACATCACTTAAATCAGACAGCTAGTGGATACGAATACTAAAGTGTAACTAACATACTCACAGTAAACAAAAAGCACTGTGATGAGCAACAAGAGGAGCAAACACAGAATCCCAAGACACACTGTGGCCAGTCTGTAGCATCGTGTCCCTGCAGGCTCAGATCCTGGGTGGGACACAAACAGCTCTATCACTGGGGATCATGGGAGAATAGGGGGCTCAGCAGACACAGTACACATAGTTATTTACTGCACAGACTCCTTTGTTAATTAAATGTATTGAACAGTGTGGACTCAAAAGCAGACAAACAAAACTAGGGTTACTCCTACTCGTATCTTCACCGTTCCCAGCACCAGATCAC